GTGTGTGTGACTCGGTGAATGTGCCATGTTGTATAAAGCATTTTGAGTAATCTGGGAGAATAGAAGCGCGCTATATAAGAATCAGTCCATTCACTGTCTGAACAAACATGTTTCTTTTACTCTATTATGTTCCGGCACATGTTGTTATTACATGGCTCGATTAAGGTACATACGATAAGATAAGATAGAACTTTATTAATCCCTCGGGTGGGTTCCTCTGGGAAATTCGACATACGCCTGGAAACGGCAAATCACGTCAGACTAAAAGACCGGAATCCAAGTTCCCCAACAGGATTGCTCAGCATCGTCATTGTGAGAAAAAATTAAAATAAAGGAAGTTACATTTAGGAACGTCACTGTATCTTAAACATAAAAATATAATGCTACTTTAGCTTTTCTTACATCTTCAGTGAAAGTAATCAACTTAAACCATCATGCAACATCGTTTGCAATAACGCTGTTATGAAATTAAACCCAGCAAATAAAATTGTAGAAACATAAATACCTGCTTGTTGCGGTTTCAGGGAGCTCAAATTAACATAGACACATTAAGAGCACCACATTGCCTGCTGTAGCGTTCTTCACAGCTGCACTTCATCTCAGAGGTAGGTTAATAAATTGAATTGAACACACGAACACAGTGTACAGTCGAGTCTTAATAGCTTACTTACAACTGCGCTCGTCAGGCACTCTTTTTGGCTGCATTAGTTATTATTTTTACATGCTTCCATCTCCCACTCGGTGACAACTTGTACTTTTCCACTCACTCAACACTGAACACAGTGAACAGAAAAATGTGTTTAATTCCTAAACAGTTCATGCAAACCCTGACTGAAGTTTAACCCTTTAAAGCCGGTCGGAGCGGGCACGCTCCGTTTTGTGTAACTATTTTAAAATCCTGGTAGAACTGCAACCACGTAAGCTAGCGCAATAATTTTTTTTGCATATGAAACCGGAGGAGCTGTACTTACATCTTATGCAATCAGCTTTTCCTAGGTCACGGTTTCCTTCCACATATAGCTTTGCAAAAATTGTATTAAAAGTACTTGCAGTAACAAAAACATAATATTACAGAAACACGCTTTGCTGATCCGATTAGCTGTTCATAACACTTCCTATGTTGGAATAGATGTCAGCGAGAACTATCGCATATCCGCTATTACCTGCCCGAAACCGGACGTTATGTCATTTTCGCGGAAATGTAGTTTTTTACCTTCAGGATCCTATAAGCCTGTACTGGTGTTTTTAAAAGTTATGTTTGAATTTATGACTTTGTTTTTGTTTCTGGGATCCTTAGAACTCAAATTGCACTGCTGGAAATAGTTTATTTTGTTGCACATGCTGTTTTGTTTTTGCAAATTTGCATTATAATAGTTGTTTTAAGTTTTCCTGCAGTATGTAAAAATTGGTGTATTTTAAAAATAAAACTATAAAAACTATTTTGTGCAACTTTTTTGTATTTACAGTTTTGAGGGATAAAGCTCTTAGATTTCTTATAACCTCTTATAACTAGAAATATATGTTAAAAAAACCAAAACGATTTTCAAGTTTTTTGTAGTTTATTGTCTTTTTTTGCAATTTATGTAATTACTATGCACTTAATGCAATACATATTATTAAAATTCGGGCTATAATGGTTGTATTGATGTATAGCAACTTGAAATACTCCCAAAAATGGCACTACAGCATGTAAAAAATACAATATAAGCTCTCGTGGACTTGGTTCTATGGTACGTCTTAAAGGATTAATTTAAAATTCAGAGGCAAAAGTACAAAACAATTGTATTCGTCCAAAGAAGTTCTTACTATGAAAACAGACAATAATGAACATTATATTTCACGTTTACTAAAAGTGTGCTGCAAAAGAAACAGGTTATAATGTAATAGCCGTCTTTTACCATCATTTATGTTGTTTCCTAACAGTCCAGACACTGAGCTTAAGATATATGTGTCAGCCGACACGTGATCAAGCTCCCTAAATAGGACATGCTGTGTCATTTGTGGTTGGCCAGTCAAACACAGTCTTCTTTGAATGCGCATGCGCCAACCAGCTTGCAGCCTGTTACAATCGCTCCTGCTTTTCTGTTAGTTTAGCTCTTTTTTCTTACGTATTCTTTTTTTTTCTGACTTGTATTTTCCTCCGTTTTCTATCTCTTACTCAATCATGTGGATTGAGAGAGTTTTTGTTCTTCTGGTGGCCGTGGAACTGTTACTTTTATCAAGGAACGGGACCGCGGCACATCTCCTACACGCACGGACTGTTTACTCCAGAGATCAGCTGATCGCCCTGATGCCGGCCGGCTCGCTGGCCAGGCCCGCAGAAGTACCAGCTGAAATTTGGAGGAAAACACATCGGGGATGCAGAGGTCAAGGACAGAAGAGAAGAAAAAAGGTGACGGTGAGACAGCGGAGGCTCGAAGCGAGGAGGAGGTTTAAACCGTGTCTGCCGTCTATCGTGATGGGAAATGTGCGATCGTTGGCAATTAAAATCGACGAGCTCTCAGCACTGGTACGGAGTCAGAGGGAATACCGAGAGTGTAGCCTGATGTGTTTCACCGAATCATGGCTGCACCAGGACATTCCCGATGAGAATGCTTCCGTGGAAGGCTTCCACACTGTTCGGGCGGACAGGGACAGCATCGCTAGCGGTAAGCGTAAAGGAGGTGGGCTTGCTGTTTTAGTTAACAACCGGTGGTGTAACCCTGCCAACATAACAATCAAAGAAAGGATTTGTTGCCCGGACACTGAACTGTGTGCTGTTGGACTCAGGCCGTATTATTTACCCAGGGAATTCTCTCACGTCATCTTGGTGGCTGTCTATGTTCCCCCCTCTGCTAACCCCACAGCTGCATGTGACACTATCCACTCTGCCATAGCTCGGCTACAGACTCAGCACCCGAGTGCCTTTATTGTGATCTCGGGTGACTTCAACCATGTATCACTGGACAATACACTACCAACATTCAAACAATATGTGGACTGTCCCACCAGGGGAGAGAAAACTTTAGACTTACTGTATGCTAACGTCAAGGATGCATACAGCTCCTCCTCCCTCCCCCCACTTGGTAGGTCAGATCATAACCTGATTCACCTCACCCCCGCTATGTGCCAATTGTGAGGAGGGAACCTGTGACCACCAGGACTGTTAGGAGGTGGTCAGAGGAGGCAATAGCGGAACTACAGGGCTGTTTCGAGGTGACCGACTGGGAAACACTCTGTGAGCCTCACGCCGAGGACATCAATGGGCTTACTGAGTGTATCACAGGCTACATAACTTTCTGCACCGACTCCATTGTTCCAGCTCAGACTGTTCATTGTTACCCAAATAACAAGCCGTGGGTGACTAAGGACATCAAAGCCCTCCTCAACAACAAGAAGAGGGCTTTCAGAGGGGGCAACAAAGAGGAGGTGAGGAAGGTCCAGGTGTTACTAAAGGACAAGATCAGAGAGGCTAAGGACAATTACAGGAGGAAGCTGGAGTGGAAACTCCAGCAGAACAGCATGAGAGAGGTGTGGAGGGGCATGAAGACCATCACTGGATTCAGGCCAACCAACAGCAGGGGAGCTGAGGGAGGTGAGAATAGAGCCGACAAGTTGAATCTGTTTTTCAATAGATTCGACACCACAGTGTCTGCTCCCACCCCCACAACCTCACCTGCAGTCAGCCTGGAATCCAGAGCCACACCACTGTGCCAGCCTCTCTCTTCACATGTTGCCTCCTGTGAGATTCCTGACACCCCTCCCCCACCCATCACCTTCACTCAATACCAGGTTGAGATGCAAATGAGGAGACTTCACTCAGGCAAGTCTGCTGGACCAGACGGAGTGAGTCCCCTTGTCCTCAAGACCTGTGCCCCCAGCTGTGTGGAGTCTTTCATAAACTGTTTATGCTGAGTCTGAGTCTGCAGAGGGTCCCGGTGATGTGGAAGACATCATGCCTCGTCCCTGTACCAAAGACGCCTCGTCCCAGTGGCCCCCAGGATTACAGGCCCGTGGCACTGACCTCCCACATCATGAAGACCCTGGAAAGGCTCATCCTGGACCAGCTGCGACCCATAGTAAGACCACATCTGGATCCCCTTCAGTTCGCTTATCAGCCTCGTCTCGGAACAGAGGACGCCATCATCTACCTGCTCAATCGTGTCTACACCCATCTGGACCAGCCGGCGAGCACTGTGAGGGTCATGTTTTTTGACTTTTCCAGTGCTTTCAACACCATCAGGCCGACCCTCCTGGGTGATAAGTTAGCAGCGATGCAGGTGGATGCTTCTCTGGTGTCCTGGATTGTTGATTACCTGACAGGAAGACCACAATATGTACGTCTCCCACAGTGTGTGTCTGACAAGGTGATTAGCAACACAGTGGCACCACAGGGGACTGTCCTCTCCCCCTTCCTCTTCACCCTCTACACCACAGACTTCAGCCACTGCACAGAGACCTGCCATCTTCAGAAGTTTTCTGATGACTCTGCGGTGGTTGGATGCATCAGCAGGGATGATGAGACAGAGTACCGGGCTGTGGTCGACTCCTTTGTCACGTGGTGTGAGCAGAATCATCTGCAGCTCAACGTGGCAAAGACCAAGGAACTGATCGTGGACTTCAGGAAGACCAGGAAACACTTGACCCCTGTTTCAATCCAGGGGGTCAGTGTTGACATTGTGGAGGACTATAAATACCTTGGAGTACACATTGACAATAAACTGGACTGGGCTAAAAACACCACAGCACTTTACAGGAAGGGCCAGAGTCGTCTCTATTTTTTTTCCAACTATTTATTTATAAGTGACTTATGTATGTATGTATGTATATATATGTATATATTGTACTATTCTTAGTTAGCGTATTGTCTGTCTTGTCTTAATGTTGGTTTAAAATGGAGCACTGTAACAAAAAATAATTTCCCCCAGGGATCAATAAAGTATTCTGATTCTGATTCTGATTCTTTGAAAAGCAAAGACAGGTTCAAGAATCTTTTCATTCAGCACCAGAGTCTGAACACGATGACATCTGCGCAGTTTGTCTTCTATCTGACGTGTTTGTTCTTGGGGGAAACAGGTGAGTTTTTTAAAACTGCAGTATGCAACGTTTACCGTTCTTCCATGTGTCTCAAATGTTCATTTACGTTCTTTCATTTTATTTCAGCTCACACAAATGACCTCAAATTCTCCTTGTCTGTTCATCAACAAAGACATTTTGTATCAACTAATACTGGGGACGATGTGACTCTGCGCTGTTTCTATGAAGGTAACGATGTGGCAAGGCTTTACTGGTATAAGTTACATTTGGGAAAGGAGTCAAAGCTTCTTTGTACTGTCAACACAGTGGACAATCAAGCCATGTTTCATGATGAATTGAAGAGTGATCCACGGTTCACTGTAAATTTTGAAAAAGGAAAGATTGACTTAAAGATAAGTGATCTGCAAATTTTAGACTCCGCTACTTACTATTGTGCAAGCAGCTATGGGTACAGGTTTGCATTTGCAGAAGGTACTGTCATTGATGTAAAAGGTTCAGGGTCGAACATCCCAACTTTAGTGCAGCAGTCAGTATCTGAGACCATCCAACCAGGAGGCTCTGTGACTCTGAACTGTACAGTACACACTGGGACCTGTGATGAAGAACACAGTGTTTACTGGTTCAGAGACTCTGAAGCGTCTTTCCCAAGAATCATTTACACCCATGGAGGCAGGAATGATCAGTGTGATAGGAAACCCAACACACAGACACACACCTGTGTCTACAACCTGCCAATGCAGAGCCTGAATACGACTCATGCTGGGACCTACTACTGTGCTGTGGCCTCATGTGGACACATACTGTTTGGAAACGGGACCAAGCTGAAGTTAGAAGGTGAGTCACATTCAAAAATATATTCAATTCCATTCTCAGCTCATTCCTATAACACAGCTGAAGATTCTGCATGTTCTTCTTCTCTTTCAATTTGCAGATGAGGTGGGATTTCTTTACTTGGTGCATGTCCTGAATGGAATTGTTGCATTCACTTGTGTCCTTAGTTTGTGTTTGATGTCCACATTGTTTGTAATGACCAAAAAGAAAAGCATCCACTTCACAGGTAAGTGTTGTTGTAAAGTTGATTCATGCATTGAATGTCATGTGCTAAAAAGATTTTCTTCTTTTTTTCAGAGTCTCATGGAAGCTTTTCAGAGGTAACTAAAGAAATGAAGATTCTGTTCTGTTTTGGTTCAGCAATTTTTATCCTTCAAAGAAGCACATTTGTGATTTACTTGTTGCCCTTTACTAGGATCACCAGAACATTTTAGGGGAGAACAAAACAAACAGATCAAGAAGACAGCGGGATGATACCTGGAGTGAATGCATCTACTTTACTGTAAAGCAGAAGAGCTGAAAATGTTTCATCTTTGTTTTAAAACGCTGTGATATACAGAGACAAAGTACAGAATTCCTTTACCTATAGTTTTGGTTTTATGATTTCACCTAAACGTGCTAACTGTAGAGATGTTCTTTCCAATAAATCTACTGAAGAAGCTTTTTAAAAACAAACATGCAAGTGCTTTTCCAGTTTATACCCATCCCAGGTATTCTGGTACTGTTTTATAGACAGAAAAAAATGAACACAAATAATGTTATTCACTGGCAAACAACTACTTACTTTAAATATTAAGCATGGCACACTGTCAAACGACATAGAGCTGTTAGGATCATTCTTTGTTTCAGTGTCAAAAGCTGAAGCTTGATCGTTTTTTGTGAGGTTTTGCAGATTTTAAGAACTATCTCCATGTGACCCATCATACCTGTGTAGTCATTCATCAACATTAAATTGAAATAAAAATAATAATTACGGGATAACAAAGATCAGCCTTCACACTTTAAATGTTTTAATGAAGTTGATGATCCATGATTTGACTTTTCCATAATGTAATGAGCAACTGTGATATCAGGCTGTAAGAACAGTCATATTTTTAACAGTACTGGAGAGTAAAAATTTACCTCCAATTCTTTGCATCAGCTGTCAATGAAAGCCTCTTGTTCCAGTATATCATAAAAATAAAGGACTGTAAAGAGTACACTGCTGCTGTCTTTTTAGTTCTCCTGATAATGACATGTTTATAATGAGCCCGAGCTTTCCAACCTGTTTATTTAAATTGTTTTTGTGCATCACAACATCACCCTGAACAGGAAAGAGAGGGGGGGGTTTGGTCATCATGTGCTCTTCAGATTGAAAGATGTTGTAGGACAGATTTAGTCTGGGGATCCATGGTTCATGAGTGTTTATGGAGTATATTTGCTGATCTGCCTTGGGGTGCCGCTCTATGGGCTCAAATTGTGGTCATAAATATTTTGTACTTGTAAATCAAATGCGTAGTTGTGAACTGAGTTTTGTAACCATGTAAACTGAAAGTGTTATGTTTGTGCATCTACATAAATCCTGTTTGTATGTCTTCTTTGTGTGTGTGTTTGCAAAAAATATTTACACAAGTTACAAATTATTTTTGTTAAGGTCTGGTTACAGATCCAACTTGCAAGTAGTGATGTGTCGGTCACGAACAAAACAGCCCTAGAGCCGGGTCTTTGAACTGAATGATGTGAGCCGACTCGTGGGTTTTTTTTTTTCTTTCTCTCACCCTCTCTCGCACTTTTTTCCACCTCACTCCGCACACGAGCCTTGTGATTTGCACTGGGCAGAGGGGGGAGGGGCAGTAGTTACACTCACAGTAGCACAGGAACAGAGTGGGAGGGAGAGAGAGAGAACGAGAGCCAGGGACAACCAGTGTTGCCAACTTAGCGATTTTGTCGCTATATTTAGCGAGTTTTCAGACCCCTTAGCGACTTTTTTTCTAAAAAGAGTCGCTAAAAAAAGACGTGAAAGCGCGTATCGCTTTTACTCTCAACAAGCAGCGGGTGCTGTAACGCAGTCAGTTCTTCTTTTACTCTTATGCTGTTTTGTGGATCACAAGGTTTAAAATTACTTATAAACACACACATAAAGTAACTCCACCAGAGTGCCTATTTCGGGTCACTTTTGCCGGTCCCTGTAAAGGAGCAGGGTTGGAATTGTGACATTAAAAAAAACAATAATTGCTAAAAGAATGATTTGTAGTTTTAATTTTAATTTGTAGTTCTAAATAAACTCTAAATGCATTTAGGACGTTTTTTACTCACTTACTCAATTCTCTTCCATGTTATTTCTCTCTCCAACAATGTAGGTTACAATTAGATTAGCATGACCAATTATGCAAATTAGGCGATGACGTCATTTAGCGACTTCTAGCGACTTTTAGGACAACCAATAGCGATTTTCCTTACTGAGGAGTTGGCAACACTGGGGACAACAACGTCACATTAGAAAGGTATAGTAATCATCCACAACTATTTTCAGTTGCAGATGATAAAGGATTCAGAAAGTTTATTCATGCAGGCCTATATGACAGAGAATGTGCATCTTCTTTTTGTTTTCATATTTTCATTTATATTTAATTGTGTTGTGGTTTGCAGTGTTTTGTGTTGTTTCACTTTAAATTTGTTTCAAAGGAAAGAGCTGAAAATGTAAATAATTAAAAGTTGAAATGTGAATAGTAGGGGTGCAACGATACACAAAATTCACGGTTCAGTTTGATTCGATACTTTGGTGTCACGGTTCGATATTTTTTCGATACTAAAAAAATGTTCATGCCTTTTTAATTTGTCATTTATTAAAATTATAAATATATATTTTAACTCAAAAGTACAGTTTTTAAATTTAATGTTGCTGAAACAAAGTAATAAAAAAACAAATCTATCTGATCCAGAGATCACTCATCTTTGGAAAAGAGAGTTTATTACAGAGAAATGTCTCTTTTCAAAATAAAAGCTATACTATACGCTTCTTCTGGGCTATATTCTCAGCAGCATATTAAACATATCAGGTCTCCATAAGGAGAATCATGTGCTAACAGCTGTCTAAATGACTCAGGTAAAGTTTGTAGCATGCATGCTTGTTGTTTTTGTCTGCTTCCACTTGTCTTAACACTAGGATGATGTCGGCGTAAATGTGCAGTCATATTTGTTGTGTTCCCACTAGTGCTGTCAGCGTTAATCTGAAATGACGTTAACGCCACAACACGGCAAATCTCCGTTAACGAGCTACCGCGGATCGCCCCGTGCGTGGGGCTGGACGGCCAACACGTTAACGAGCTAACTGCGCTAACACACTAGTTCCCACCCATGTAATTGAACATTGCGTGGCACATCCAACATACTGTTTTACTTTTTTCCATGACGTGCTTACCTTCAGGGTCATACGTCACATGAAAACCAAAAAAGTTCCAAACGCCAGATCTGAATGAGGGTGGGGGAGGTTCAATTTGCCATGTTGCAAGGAGAGCTTAACTTCTGTCTTGCAAGCTTGCCCTGCGCTCAGTGAATCTGCGTTCGACTACTCCGCCTAGGCGGCATTGTCGAGCGCAGATCCACTGAGCGCTCAACACAGACAGCATCGTCAGAAGGAAAGTTGATAAAATACATTAAAAATGTTGTATTGTTCGATGCAAAAGCACTGTATCGAACGGTTCAATATCGATACGAGTATTGTTGCACCCCTAGTGAATAGTTGGTTTTTGTATTATATGATTTTGTCATGCTCCCCGTGTCTGCCCGGCGGACTCAGGTTGGCTACATATGTTTCTTGTTTACATCTGCCTCTCTCACGCTTGCCCTGTCTCACCGGGGCAGAGCTCATTGCAAGCTCCCGCGCCTGGCCCTCGCACCTGAGATTGTATTGTATCTTTATTTCAGACATATACAGAAAAAAACAATATATACACAAGTACACATACTTGCATTTACAAATACAAATATATATGCAAATACACACACGTATGTGCTCAGATAAAACAAAAAAAATAAAATAAATAAAATAAAACGACAATTATTAGGTCTGAAATGAAGTAGGAAGAAGTATAACATACTTATTAATCCCTACCCCATGCTCAACATTCTATTGAATCCCACTATTCCCATCATCACTTACCCCACACAATAAACAAGGAGAACATGTATAAACATAGCTACAGTGATAGATATAATTTAGATACAAATTATATTGTGGCTCATCGCGTAACCTCATCGACTACTTAAGGCAGTGATAATAATAATAACAATAATAATACATTTTATTTGAGGGCGCCTTTCAGAAACCCAAGGTCACCTTACAAAAACACAATTAATAAAAGGAACAATAGTCATAAAATACATAAAATAAGTTAAAATTACAAAACAGAGCGTGACAACAGATAAAATCAGCATTAAAGCGAATAAGCCAGTTTAAACAGATGTGTTTTGAGCTGTGTCTTAAATACGGAGAGGGAGTCAATATTTCTTAGTGCAGGAGGAAGAGAGTTCCAGAGCCGAGGAGCAGAGCGACTGAAAGCTCTGTTCCCCATAGTGATAAGGTGTGAGGACGGAACAGTAAGATGAATAGCAGATGATGATCTGAGAGTGCGGGAAACAGTGGTGATATGGAGCAGGTCACACAAATATGAAGGAGCAGATTTATGGATACACTTGTATGCAAGAAGTAAGATTTTAAAATTTTAAAATCCAGCAGTGGCTGGAAACATCTAGTTTCTGGATTATTGAGTAACCTCGGTAGTAATCTCCGGAGTACTAGTTCCTTGTTGTCTTTTCACGTCGCTGATTGATGAGATTAATCGCTTATTTTCCGTGAACAGGAATTCCGTTTCCCTTGGAGCCCTGGGTGTGCAAGATTGGTGATGTGCTGTGTTTCGTGGAGTCCCTCGTGTGTGAAGAGCTCCTTTTCCAGATTCCCCTGTGCCCTGGATCCCCCTTGCCCTCTCACTTGTATGAGAGGGCACCTGGTGTTGTATACCAATAAACGGAACTGTATTTTAGCTGCCTCGTCTGCGCTTGAGTCCATCCCACATCATGACAGATTTATTTATTACATTTTATGTGGAGTGAATAGATAAAAGTATATTTACTGTGGCCGCTAGAGACAAAGCACGTACGAACTCCATAGTATGTACAAACTCCGAAGCATATAAAAACTCCAAAACACATACAAAACACAACAGAAGTGCTCCAGGATGCTAGGCACGGTGTTGAGCTTTTGTTACCTAGCGGCTACACAAGCCACGAAGTACCAACGACCGGATTTGGTGTGTGGTAGTAGCAGGTAAATGAACATTTTTTTAATTATTTGAATATATATGAGTGCTTGTGTATAAATACACAAACCATACACATATGCTTTCAATTGTGTAATTTAAGTGATCTCGGTAGCTCTGTTTTGGAAGTTCAGTTAACGCTACAAATGTGTTTTGGAGTTTGTACGTGCTTTGTCTCTATGGGCCACCACATATATTTATATATAAACATATATAAATAAAA